ATTCTCAAAACACGAGTTCTACAATTCTAGAATACTTTCGACTCGATTATCGCTTGAAAATAAAAATCATTTATTCCTTTAGTTTTCCTTTATTTTCTAAAGATAAATGATAAATTTTGTTTCAATCATTTTCTATTATCTTCTAAACGTAAATGATCCATCTATCTTTAAAAAGCCAAATTATAGATGCTTTTTCAATCATTTACGTTAGTGGCGTCGCTAGAGTGGGGCCAGATCAGGCTGAGCCCCATCACCGGCTTTGGAGCCACACCCTCCTTATTCCAATTTATCGATTGAATTCTTGAATTCTTGAATTAAAGAAATAAATATGATTTAGAGCACTGAACTCTGAATTTTGAATCGAAAAGAATGGAAATATTTTCTCCATTGATAGTAATAGGGAACCATCTGTTAATTTATGTAACTATTAGATATTGAAAGCACTAATCATCATTTTATTTTATTCATTATGACTGACAAGTGCTGAGAGAAGCTAACGATAAGTTGTAATATTTCACAAGCAGATCAATTAAAAATATGCAACCTAGTAAATCAAAATCAAGAACTATTATGTCTTTCTTTTCACCATCTTCACCAAATAAACAAAGATTAATTAATCAAGAGTTACACCACTCATCCACATCTACGGAAACAACAACAGAACTTGTTTTGTCTGAAGAAACAAATTTGCACTATCCTCTGGCCATGATATTATAATCAGATTCTCAAGCGCTCAAATCCAGACCCAAACCAAGACGCAAACCCACACCCACACCTTTCCAACCTTTTACTTTTAGGTAAAAAGTTGGAAAGAAAAAAATGAGTCACATATTAATGACAGTGTCATTGTAAATCATTGATTATGATGATTGAGAATGACTGTGACTAGAAATTTAACAAGTAGAAAGGATATCTATATATAAATATATATAAACATGAATCGAAGCGTCGACTTCACTTTCTGTGCTTAAGGCTTTGCTACAGTATTTGTCGGTTAACTGAATTAACAATCAAGAGTAATCTTTTCTAGATAATCGATTCATTTCTAGACTGGGATGATGCTTTCGTGTATCAAGAATACCGATATTCTGGTCAGTGAAATACGGTTAACACCTACAAATGGAAAAGAATTTTATTTCGACAATGAAACACTTGTAGGTAAAGTGATATTAAAAACGAAGGAGACCATTTCATCAGAGGAGTTAAGTTTATCACTTATTGGCGAGTCGGTAACGAGTCACCAAACTTATCCTTCAAATGCTTATGCAATTCCTACGACCATTACAAATAGTCGCATACTCCGTAAACATGTGATGGTGCTCTCTTCACAACCCAATGAAGAATTGACTTTAGTAAGTAAGAAACACAAATGTTGTCTATTCTAGACAACGTACAGAGAGAAGATTGACATTTTGTGTATTTTTTTACTCGTATAGGCGGACACCGACAATTTCAACGTGTTCGATTCTACATTTTTTCCCGTCTCCACATTTTCTTTTACATTCGCAATCCCCGACTCTTTGCCTCCATCCATTTTTGTTGGCAGTGGTCGTATTGAATACTATTTATTGTTGGAATTCATGCAACACGGGGAAAACGCAAAAGAGATTAAAAAATTACCAATCACAATTCGTTCCAGTGTTTCACCACCGGTGAATCCTCAGGACAATAACTATTCTAAAAAAAATGGAAAACTGTCTGTCAATGTCAAAATGGAACCAAGCTATATTTCATCGGAAAAACCTGAATTACCTTTGGAAATCACAATAAACAATCCTGGCAAAGAAACCATCGAAAAAATTAAAGTAATATATACTCTGAAGCGTCAAGTAGAGACCAACAAAGATCGGGACAACCTTGTTAATGTAACAATTAATGCTACATCGCACATGCAAAAGGAGAACTTTCATGCAAATTACTTGTTTGGAATACCACAAGCTGTGTTGGCATCCTTCCCATCATATACTTATTCAGAGTCATCCAATATATCGCATACTATTATGGTCCACTATGTCTTGAAGGTTGAGATTTGCGTCAATGGGTGGTTAAAGAATATCGAATTCAAAATCCCAGTCTTTGTAGCTAACAAGCAATAGTTCGAATCAATTTTTTCTTCGAAACTTTTCCATTACTCAACAAACAAAAGTAAATCAAACGAGACAGATGCACTTATATCATCTTTTTTTTTGTTTTTTGCTAACATCGCTTTTATTGATGGAAAAAACTGACAATAGTTGCATACCACAAAAGCAAAACATACACAAAACAAAATACAGTATTGTCAAAAAAAAGAAACAAAAAGAGGCACATGACATTAGTCTTTATCTCGGAGTTTGGTTTTGGTGATTTCACATTGGTGTTTATGATGTGATGAGAATGTGGTATTCATAGTGATGGGTATCACATTAATTGGTCTTCATTGTATTATTGTTGTTTCATAATGCAAATGTAAATAAACGATAGAAAACGGAGAGTGCTGAATATAGAAAAACGAGTCACCATATAGGTTGACTCATCTTTATCAATAATATGCAGAATAAGTGAGAAAAAACAAAAATAACGAAAATAGCTTA